TGCCTCCCCCGAGGGCCCCCCCCCCCAGGTTCTGCCAGCCCTGCACCCTCTCCTGGAAGACTTGACCTCCCCATATGGGTGGGGCCCGACGACACCAGCAGATAATAAAGAGCGGGGCATTGCTTGAGGTTTCTGCAGGATCCCCAGGCAAGGCAGGGCCTCTCCACCAATGGGGGAAGGGGGCTCCCTATGCCAGCACGAAGGGCTCCCAAGAATCTGGGGCTCCAACTCTCAGGCTCACCCACCAAACGTCCCCATCAGGCCTCTGAACCCAGCTCTCTTCTTGAAGCCAACTTGGACCTGAGACCTGCTATGCTAAGCATTCAGGCTCCTTTGAGGTCCTGTCACCTGACAGCAAAACCCTTGACCTGTCAGAGGGTCTGGGGGATGAGCGCTTCCTTCCAAGCTGCCACAGAGCCTCTGGCTTCCACAGCATGTACAGGGTGGATGGTTGAGCTTGTTTTCTTTTCTTAAGATTTCCTATGAAGTTAAGAAAAGCCACACACTCCACAATCCTTGATTCTCACTGCTCCCTCTGTTTAAATGCTACAGACTACATAAGTCCATGGCTCCCAGATGTTGCTGCAGGCTGAAGCAGGCGCAGGCATGATGCAGTTCAGGCACTGTGGGGTGCGGCCCTTTCTTCGGTGCATGGCCGAGAAGCCAGTCTGTGGGGATAGGAGACTGAACAGCTATGCAGAGACATGAGACAGAAACTTACTGCAAGGTTCAATAGCTCTTTATTTGCCATTTCTGGTTCTTCTAGAAGTCTGACCTGCATTCTCCATTCTTGCCCTGAGGTTCCATGAGATAGCGCTAAAACAAGTTCTCCTTTTAACTAAGTTAGCTTGAACTGGTCTCTGCTGCTTACAGCCAGACTCCTGATAGAGAAAAACGGCGACTAATTTGTCAAATCTAGAACGGTGAGAGGAGCACTTTGGGCCTCAACCCACAAACGCACACATATCACAGCAGGTGGAGCAAGCCCAGCCTGTCTGTGCAGCAGCGAGGTCCCCATCAAGCCTCAGCAGGTGTCCACGATATTGGCACCCAAGCACCTCTCAGCATAGCACAGGGCCATGCAAGATGCTGGAGAAAGAAGCAGTGCTGTGACTGGAACACACCCTGCAGCTTCCTCTTTTCAGGTGCAGCATGCTTACTGTACAAATCTGCTTTTAGTAATGATATCAAGACAGCAAAAGCAACCAGAAAGCCCTTTTCTCCCTTCCCCTTACTTTAAAAGATGATCTTAGTAAACTATTAAGCAATCAGACTTTTTAAACAATCCAACACAAAAATAGTTACACACTGTAATTAGAAAAAACTTCTCTTTTAAAGATCATACAGGCCCTTTGCTGAAGTTTTCTCTGTCATAACATCACCTCACTGGTTCAAGTTTGCAGAATTATTTTCTTGTCATCATAAAGTCAACACTGTATCTGCCAGCCTGTACACATACATACACGCACACGCACATGCTCACATACATAGATATGAAAGGTACATAAGAACGGCATACCTTTGCCTGTGCACTTAACAAAGGGGAAGGAGGCTTATCCACCAAATGGGCTAACTAGAAGGACATACAGTTACTGCCTGTTTCTCAGAATGTTCTGGTCAGTCACTGTGCCTTTTAACTGCATCCCAAAGCAAAGCAGCCTGAAGACAACAAAATTAAAAAGCAAAATCTGAACACTTCCCCCCAAAAGTCCTTACTTTTAAGCCACTGCAACCTCATACACAATAATTTGGTATCCCCAAATCAATTAAAAGCAAAGATTACAAAGGAATCGCTCCTTTTCCTCCCTTGAGCCCTCCTCTTGCCCGCCTGTTGAAGACGAGGTGTCCCCCAGTGACCTGGACTTGCCCCACCAGGGCCTCCTAGAGCTCAGACTCCTTTGCTCTGGAGGGACCCCTCGCCTTGCTGGCTTTGGGTTTTACACTTACTGCAACTTCCAGGAAAGCGGCAGGACAAACATTTTAAAGACACAACAAATGCTGCACACACATCAAACACTTGGATTCCTACTCTTTTTTGCAATTTTAAACTTTGGTTGAATAATATTCCACTATAATCTCCATTTATCCATTTGACTGTAAAATGGCCACAGCATTGTATAAATATTTCAGACCTAACAATAACAACT